AGTACGTTTAACCGAAATAGTTTGAAATGGCCTAATTCTAAAATTTTGACCGGAATTTTTCCGGAAAAATTGCCCAAAAAATAAACATGTTCCAATCTAGTTGAAATTAAGTTTCTAGACTAATGTTGCCCAGCTGAGTGCGCTTTTGGCATCGATTGTTGAAAATTTTCATTATTTTAAACGAAGTTCTCTTTTAGCCGAAACTCAAAAACCAAATTGTGAGTTCGACGGTCAATAACTTTTGAACAGACAAAGAGAGCATACTCCGGTTTTATCTTTAGATTTATACTAGTTTTCTGGATATAGGAGTATATTTTGAGATAGATATCTAGACCCGTTTAAAATCTACGTACACTTTTATCGGACGGTGTCATTTTCGGAAGACTCGAACATTAAAAAATTTTTAAAAGTTAAGAGCTCTTTTACAATTTTTTTTGGTCCCAGATTCCTATTCATGAAGTTCGCAGTACGGAAAGGAGTAATTTTCAAACAAATGGAGCTACAACGTTTACTCGACTTAGCTTGACATGTCCTAAATTTGAAAATTTTGACCGAAATATATCTGGAAAAATTGCCTAAAAAATAATCATGTTTCAGTCTGCATAAACGACAAAAATTGAATAAAGATTTACCATGCTTACGACAGCCTTAAAACAGACATAAACGACAGATCTACTTTTACATATTCTAGGGGTCATGAAACGTCTATAAAATATGAAAGTAGGCAGTCGTCGCATGGACTCTAAAGTGGCTGTGGCTGGACCAACAGAAAGGATTTAAGTCTGTATATAAAAATTTGAAATAGAAATTAGAAACAAACGAGGTGTGGAGGTGGAAAAAATGTGACGAAATAGAGAGAATGTCAAATTAGTACGAGAATGTTAGAAAGATAAAAACAAAGGTATAATTAAGCCAAAAACTCTAGAGATGCGTGGCTGGAGGTGGAAAGAAAAAGAGAAGAAAGAATAAGGATTGAGTATATTTCAATAGGAAAGGACAAATATTTAAAAAATATATATAATGATGTGAACTTAAATAAAGAAAGCACGAAAGAAAGAAAAATGGTGAAATCTTGGTGTGGAAATAAAACGAAAAATAATAAATATTTATTAAAAGAAATATGAAGAGAAGAGAAAAAACATAAAGTATTAACAAAAAAATTAACGGCGTCACAAAATTTTATTACATCAAATTCACATCAAATATACAAAACTATAGGTACACACTGCTCTATTTATGATTCAGTAAATCTTCCCTTTATTTTAATTTAGTTTTGTCTAAAAAATAAGCTTCAGTTTGATACAAAAATCATACAAGAAACTTTTATAACGTATTTTAGAAACTGTGTAACTATAATTTATTTTTGCTTTCAGGTCAAATATCTCAAAAATTAGTCGCTAAAACTAATGAAATTTACACGATCTTGACAGAATTTTTAAAATTTAAGATCCATAACAGTGAACTTTTTCGAATTTTTAGCTTGACATGACTCTGCAATGGCATTTTTTAAACAACCAGTTTCTTTTAAATTGTGTTATAATACGCATATAATTTTCTATCTTTTGTCAAATAAAAAAAAAGATTCCAAAAATTTGTGACGAGAAAATTAATTTAGTTTGGAACTAGGCAAAGCCAGTTTGAAAGTGGTCTCTTATCTCAAAATTTAGTCGACGTATAAAAAAAGCTTGAATGTTCCTTTAATTAAAACTTTTATTTTACAACGCCAAAATTAATTTAAATTTAAAGCAAAAAGTTGATGAATTGCATAACTAAAGAAATTGGTCTGGTTTTTTCTGATAAAGGTTAGTTTGCGCCTTTATATGCACGTGGTATGTATTAGATTATTTTTCTAATGTATGTGCATTAATTTAGATTTTATTGCTAAATATGTTGGTGGTAGAGTGGGCCTGCAACCCCTAAAGTAGAAAAGTCTGAAAAAGATTGAACAAATACTTGCATACATTTATCCATCCTTGAATTTTCATGCTTCGTGGACACTAACTTAAAATCTGATACCTATTTTCCACCTTCAAACTCAGAGTACCATCAACAACAATCCATTCGTCGCAAGTCACAAAAATACCCATTGTACCCCGGTGGCCCCCGACGTCTCTATGCTCGATTTTCGAGCATGATGTGAGTTAGCGAGTGGTACCAAGCCGTGGTACCGCCCATACCCGCGGCAATGTGGTAGAGACGGCCATGTTATCGAGGCCGTAGGGTACCCAACCGGTCTTACATTTACTTTTGCATCATAAACAGCAACTGCTGTTCACTTGCCGACGCTGTGTGGAAAAAAAAGACACCACATTCGAATGGTATCATTAAGAGCGTGGAATTGCGGATTTTTTGCTTTTCGTGGTCGGTTTTGCGTGGAGGATTTCTTTGATTTGGAATCGACAACGGAATCCGGCCGGATTTCTGACGGGGTGATGCACATGTTGCGTCGGCGAGGGTGAACAGGGTGACGTGGCATGTGGTGGTTTGAGAATAATAATATGTCAACCTTGATACGAGCTCGGTACACAGTTATTATGGTTTATTGTTCGCCGACGAAAGAAATGCGCTTACGTGGAATCGGAGATCGAGGGACAGATTTGCGGTGGAGAGGTCGGTTTGGGAGGATTTTTAGTGCGGATTTTTGCGTGGAAATGAACACGCAAGGGTTTGTTCAGCGGTCGCAATATTTTAGTTAAAATGTTGCTAATTTTGTAGTTGTTTCAAATGAAAATTAGTTATTTTTCACGTTTTAAGTGAAGGTTAGGAGGAGGATTGTAACAGGCTCGTTTTACGAACGTTTAACTTCAGGTAATTTCATGTTTCCGTACGTTTTTGTCGGTCGGTCTGTTGACGATTAAAAAATTAAATTTTAAATTTACGTAACGTCTTTAGCCGAGGGCTAGATGCCACCCAAGAAACATTTAGCGGCAATGTTTTTTACAAACGGAACAAATTTGAAATGTTTTGTGATTATATTGTTTGTTCTTTTATCCTTTTCAAAAATTGATGACGTGATATCAAAATATTATTGTCAACTTTTTGCTTTGATTGAATTTTGACTACAAAATATTTTTAGAAATTATAAAAGATAAAAAAAGTGTCAAAAAGTTGTGACGTCACCTTAAAAAATTACCACGTAGCAAAATATAGCTGAAAATAGGTATTAGTTATGCTTAGTTAACCAGAGACATTTTTGATTAAAAAAAATATGTCTTGTAGATGGTATAATAGTTTCGGGAATTAATTCTTCAAACATTTCCAACAGTGAAACGACAGACGGTCAACAAAGACAGACATACGAAAACAGGGAAGCTTTTTCGAGCTCCGCGGACTGTGAAACCTTGAGAAAATACAAAATGAGAATTCCACAAATTACCTTATTTATTCCCTTAGCTCTCACCATCTCAGGAAATAAAATCCCTAGACAAAAAAGCTCGGTTTACCTGACGATCTAACCAACGCCTCACAAAGTGTGCGGTTTGGAAACACCACCTCAACCCACATTTCAACGTTCACTTTATTTATTTACTTTCATCGAAATGACTTTTCGCTTTCTTAGTACAGTTATATTGGAGATCTGGATCAAACTGCTTCATTTTATCAGAATTTTTTCAACAATTCTTATCTATTTTGTATTCATTTCGACGTTTCGTTGTGATTTATTGTAACTATTGTTATTTATTAATCAATGGAAGACATAGTACGTGCTTCAGTTTACTATATCGTTGCTTTTCAAGTGAACTTTTACATTTATTCAGCCACAAAAGATAAAAAGAGAACTTGAATCAAACTTGTTTCAAACTTGGCTTTTACATAATTTATTCTTCCAAACACCGAGCCTCTATGGTACAAATTTATTTAAATTATGATTATAATTATTAACAAAGTAAGACGTCTACGTATTTCTAGCTATTTCTATAAATATTGATTTTAAATTAACTTAGTGATGATATGGAAAAGCTACAAAATGAAAAAAGCTTCTCATTCACTTTAAACAATAATTTAAAAATTATTACAATTTTTTATTTAGTTTTTTCGTGTCTGTAATAGAGACGTAGAACTATTTATCTAATCAAATTACGAAATTATAATTAGGTTTAAATTTATCTAGCCACAAGTTATAGTGATTGAAATTTAATTATAATTTTTAAACATTTATCTATTTATTGACCGTACAATTTTATTGACGTGCTAATACTTAGTTGTTGACGTTACAAGTGTCTGATTACAAAGAGGCGTTAACCTAGTGGTGTAATACACAATTATTAATCAGTTTAAATAAAAAGACAAAAAAGTTTGTCTTAAAAAACTAGTGCGGTAATTTGACGCATTATATCACATTGATTTGTAAAGTTACACTGCGCGGTAATATAACTCAACTGAGTTATTCATAAAATTAACTTTATTATTTTCGTATTCACAACTATGTTGTGTTATCTTTTTAATTGCTTGTCTAACGAAACCACTGACGTAGAATTATTAACTTATATGTAAAGTAGGCTAGTAAGAATGTAGGATACCTACTTGTTAATATGTATAAATTTTCAATAAAAGTCTGTTTTTGAAGGCAAACACTGACCACAAAAATGCATTCATTATAGACGATATAAACATTACGAACTTCATTATATTGTGATAATATCTAAGGCAGACTTAAGTAAATAGTAATTAAAATAACATAAAAATATCCATAATGTAGTGCATATTTTTTGCAATTCAAATTTGCCACTCGTGAATAATTAATTCAATTAATTACTTAATTTTAAGTTAATCCACACAGCAAAGCAGGTGCTGCCATCTCCTAGACGGGTGCTAAATCACAGTAAAAGTATTTTCAACCACATATAATAGTTAAATTTAATCCATTTAAACGACAATTTCAGCAACAATTTAATAATAAATTGTAGTTTAAATTAAAACAGTATTTATATAGATCACCATGACAGATTTCATTAAATTTGTCCCTCCATTCCGAACAAAGGGGACGCCACTGCAGCAATCCTAATGGATCCTAGTTTGACAGTTGTCAAAATTTTAAAACGTTTTTAACCTTGCAGGTGCATATTTTCTCAATAAGTGCAATGTTTTCCACAAGTACTCAGTGTAAACACTGGATGTTCAACAGTGAGGAAGAACTAAACAAATTGCGCGAAAATGCTAACCTCAAACATATACAGACATACGGCAGACACATCAATGTAACTAAAATTCCAACACTGATTACTTTCTTAGCTTACTTATTATTATATCCATAGGAGGCCCAACGCTACGACTATTTCCTGACAGCAGAAGAAGAAAAAATCATGGTAAAACGATACGAAATCAGGCTACGAGACTTCTGCAAAAGGTTTCAGCCACCAATGACCAGATGTGTGATTGGGACAGCATTTCACTATTTTAAACGGTTTTATATTCATAATTCAGTAATGAACCATCACCCTAAAGAAATAATGTAAGTTTAGCGTGTCACATTACTATTTTATTTAGAAAAAACTTAATTGTAGGGTTACGTGTATATATTTAGCTTGTAAGGTTGAAGAATTTAATGTCTCGATTCAACAGTTTGTTGCTAACCTTAAGGGAGATAGGGAGAAGGCGACTGATATTATTTTAAACAATGAATTGCTGTTGATGGAACAGTTGAGTTTTCATTTGGCAATTCATAACCCATTTAGGCCTGTAGAGGGGCTTCTGATTGATATTAAGGTATTAGTTGTGTAGTAAGTTGTGGAGTGATGATGAATCAGTGATTTTAGACTAGGTGTTCTCTGAATGATCCAGAACGACTGAGACCTGGAACTGAACATTTCCTAGAAAGAGCATTCCTGACAGATGTTGTTTTATTGTATTCTCCAAGTCAGGTGGCTTTGGCTGCCGTTCTTCATGCAGCTTCCAAGTTACAAGAAAATCTAGATTCTTATGTTACTGACACATTATTTGGTGTTGATGGTAGAGGGAAACTGGAAGAATTAATTGAAGCTGTTCGAGGTAAAAACTGATTTTTAAGTATTTTTTTAAATAAAATTGTTTATTTTAGCTATTAGATCCATTGTTAAAATGGTAGATGCCACACCTGACAGAAATCAACAAAAACTGCTTGATAAAAAGTTGGAGAGGTGCAGAAACCCTGAAAACAATCCAGACAGTGAAATGTAAACTGATTTATAAAAGTTTGTTATTGTTGGTAATTTTTTTTCTTGCAGTTACAAAAAGAGAATGCAGGCGCTGCTGGATGAAGATGATGACTTATATCAGAGGATTTCATCAAGAACAGATTCTCTTGATAACTCTGCTTTAAACATGTCTGTGTGTGCGTCTCCTGAGGTGGCATAACTGCTTAAAGTATTAATAAATTTAAGGCATTTGAACCATTTTTTGTTGTTATTTATTATTAAAAATTAACCTAAGTACAAAACAACTTTATAAAGCTTATAAGAAATTCTTTGGTAACTGAAAACAGGTTAGTGTAAATTTTAGGCGCTCTCGAAATGTCTTCCAAAATTCTGTAGTTGCATTATTGGAGAGCTGTCAGGTTGGTGGTGTTGTTCAGGGAAGTTGATGTAATTTGAGACGCATTGTCTGGATATGTGGGACATCATGGACGTGCTGGGTGCTGATGGCATGACGTTGGGTAACACAGATGGGACGCTGGATAAGCCGGGCTGTCCAGGGTAATTAAAAAACCTGAAAAAAAAATTGTTAAAAATATGTGGGTTTTACACTTGTACATTTATTTTGTATTTTTTCTTTTTTGAAACCGCATTATTATTATTATTATTATTGTTTTATTTACTTCATCTGCAGCAATGTCATAAATTGTAAACGTTTTACTCCGGCTCATCAAACTTGAAGGAGAAACTGTAGACAGATTAATGACGTATTTGGGTGGTATATTTTTAGGAATTAATATTTTGTGGATTATAAGTAGCATAAATATAATCCTGAATGTTTGCATTGTTCATTATTTGTAAACCAAACTACAGTTTTAAATAAAATTTGAATCTAAAAGTTTCGAACAAATCAAGATGTGCACCACGCACATGATACTCCATTTAAAAAGTAAAACAAAAATTGGGTAGGAACTTAAAAAAAGTTTGTTTAATTTTGTACCTAATTTTCACTCATTTACCCTCTTCGCGGATTACTGTGTGGTAAATATTAGGAGAAAAATAATAGAACGAAAAGCTGCCGAAAAATATGAAGCTAGAGAGATTTTTTTAAGAAAGTAAATTTGTTGGAAAGAAAAAAATGTAAAAAATAAATACAATCTCTCAAGCGCCAACGTAGATATGCAATCAGTTATACACGTAGCTGTAGCGTACGTGAGAACACTCTATGAACGGATTTTCTAAGTTTTCATTCCAACATTTTTCGTTCTACCGCATATGATTTTTCTTTCTTATTAAGTTATTTTCTGAAAATGTTGGTCCTACCACATTTTTTCCCAAATAGTTTCGTTTCTGAAAATTTCTGTTAAAAATTATAACAAAACTATTTCTTAAACAGTCTATTTTATAAGGCACCATGTCAAAAATTTGTAACTTTTTTTTTATTATGATTAAGATAATAAAAAATCGACAAAAGTATATTAAAATTGACACGATGAAGAGATAATAAAGATTTTTCTTATACTTATTTGAAAGTTTTCCATTTTAGTCATTTCATAAGAGAGCTGTAGACTATTGGTTTTCTTACATCTTGAGAGCGGGTAAAGAAATTCTGTAAACGCTGTTATTTTTAGCTTGAAGGTATATATTTTTGACAGACTAATAAATTGCGATCACTTAAGTATTTATTTCATTCTCAGTCGATAAAAAAGTCATAAATATAAAAAAAGTCGTGATATAGGGATCGACAAAATTCATTTGAGTATACAAATTTTAAAATTTGAAAGAAATCGTATGTGAAGTTCATGTATTATCTTAAAATTTATTGTGTAAATTTTTCTTTTTTGGAAAACTAAAAATAGGCGTAGATTATTAAACCGTTAGTGGGATTCACTTAATAAAAGTTCGAGTTGATTATCAATTTTTTGGGAGAAGATGAATGTATATATTTGATTAGCCATTACAAGGATCTTTACAATGGGATTTACAATTTGCTGTTGACGTTGAAATTCCCGTTGCCGTTGATCGTAGCTTTGATGTTCAAATTTTACCGTATTTAAAGGGGTTGTAGAAGAAAAGTAGAGAATTTAAGTTGATTACTACAAAAATTTATAATTTTAGACATATTTTAAGTTTCTTGTTGTCCAAATAACTCTACACATATTAAGAAAAAAAGGGCAAAATGCAGCCCGGCCCACCCGCCCTATTTCAATTGTGATGATTTTTTTATACGTTATCAGATCGAGGAGCGGGGCATAATTATAAGATCCATATTTGTCTACAAGAGTTTACCATTTTAAACATGTTTTAAGTTTCTTGTTCTGAAAAGACGACTACGTATATTAAGAAAAAATTGGTCTAAAGAGTTTAGACAGTACTTCCTTCGCTGTCGGAAACTTGACGACTGCATGCCTATTGTGGTTTTTTTTCTCATTACATTTTTGTAGTGGGAATTTAAAAAAAAATTGTGATGACGTCATCAACATTTTTGCAAGGACACGTATATCAGTTGGGATAGATGTAGTGTATTACTAATTATAAAATTATTGTATTCCCAAATTTTCGGAAAAATGAATTGGGTCGTTTTGAATATTGATTTCTTATAATCAATAAAATAACGAAACAATTTACTCACGTATACGGCGTCGGTGTGTAATATCTAGAGAGCGGATTTCTGTCGGGCTAGGCAAGGCCAAACTCGGTACGGCTCGTACGGGATGCGAATTCATTGCGGTTGCGGACTGCACTTCGTTTATTTGAGATTAGAATAACGCTGTTTCGTTGCGCTCTGCTGTTAATTCCCGTTCTCATTTACTTAGCCGTTTGATTAATAAATCGTTAATTATATTTATGGAATTAGTACCGATTAAACGTGACGTAGCCCGACAAAAATCCGCTGTCTAGTAATATGAAAGGCAACTGAAAATCGTTTATGTATAAACATTCTTAATTTAAGATGACAAGCGTAACAGCATACGTGAGAGTCAAACAGAGAAACTGTAAACAAAACGTCCATCGGTTTTATTGCTTCGACTTCCGCTTATTATATAAAACATTGGGTTTTATTTTAATTCTTGACGGTGAAATTCACAACTGGTTGATTATAAACATGTCTATTTCACATTCGCGGAACCAAGTGAGCGCATAAAACAAATGCAGGTCTGTAATGTTAAAGTCGATGTAAATAAGCGTGCTACCCTTATGTTTCAACCGAGTTTTTCCTTTAACAAATTTTGTGTCTACCAAATTGGGTTGGTTGGGGTGTAATACTAATAATAAGTGTTGCCTTTAATTTAATCAATAAAATAAATTGACTTCATCAATTTTTTTGAACCACCTCTTAAGAAAATCTAAAAAATATGAATGGAATGATAAATCACAAGTACAAACTCATCATATTTTTTGCATTTTAGATAGGATTTATTCAGCAAAATTTAAGGGTGACGTCATCAATTTTTTTAGGAGGGATGAACAAATACATTTTGAACAAAAGTTTACCATGCTTATAATAACTTTAAAATATTCCCAAGATTTCAAAGCATTCGGTTTTGTAATTCCTGATTAAATCGATAAAATAAATTCACGCCTTCATTAATTTTTTTGAGTCACCCTGCATATGCAAATCCAAAAATATGAATGGAATGATAAATCACAAGTACAGACTCATCATATTTTTACAGTTTAGATAGGATTTATTCGGCAAACTTTCGAGCTGACGTCATCGATTTTTTGGAGGGGATAAGCAAATATATTTTGACTAAACATTTATTATGCTCTTTATGACCTTAAAACATCTGCAAGATTTCAAAGCATTCGGTTTTGTAGTTCCTGATTAAATCAATAAAATAAATTTACGCATTCATTAATTTTTTTGAGTCACCCTGTATATGCAAATCGAAAAAATTTGAATGGGATGATAAATCACAAGAAGAGACTCACCATATTTTGTACATTTTAGATAGGATTTATTCAGCAAAATTTTGTGGTGACGTCATAAATTTTTTAGGGGGGACGACCAAATACATTTTGATCAAAAATTTACCATGCTTATGATAATTTTAAAATATCTTCAAGATTTCGAAGCATTCGGTTTTGTAGTTCCTGAGTAAATCAGTAAAATAAATTTACGCTTTCATTTATTTTTTTGAATCACCCTGTATATGCAAATCCAAAAAATATGAATGGAGTGATAGATCAAAAGGACAGACTGATCATATTTTGTACATTTTAGATATGATTTATTCGGCAAATTTTCGAGCTGACGTCATCAAGTTTTTGGAGGGGATAAGCAAATATATTTTGACTAAACATTTATTATGCTCTTTATAACCTTAAAACATCTGCAAGATGTCAGAGCATTCCGTTTTGTAGTTCCTGATTAAATCAATAAAATATATTTACGCATTCATTAATTTTTTTGGGTCACTCTGTATATGCAAATCCAAAAAATATGAATGGAGTGATAAATGACAAGTACAGACTCATCATACTTTGTACATTTTAGATATGATTTATTCGGCAAACTTTCGAGCTGACGTCATCAAGTTTTTGGAGGGGATAAGCAAATATATTTTGACTAAACATTTATTATGCTCTTTATGACCTTAAAGCATCTGCAAGATTTCAGAGCATTCCGTTTTGTAGTTCCTGATTAAATCAATAAAATATATTTACGCATTCATTAATTTTTTTGGGTCACTCTGTATATGCAAATCCAAAAAATATGAATGGAGTGATAAATGACAAGTACAGACTCATCATACTTTGTACATTTTAGATATGATTTATTCGGCAAACTTTCGAGCTGACGTCATCAAGTTTTTGGAGGGGATAAGCAAATATATTTTGACTAAACATTTATTATGCTCTTTATGACCTTAAAACATCTGCAAGATTTCAGAGCATTCGGTTTTGTAGTTCCTGATTAAATCAATGAAATATATTTACGCATACATTAATTTTTTTGAGTCACCCTGTATATGCAAATCCAAAAAATATGAATGGAGTGATAAATTACAAGTACAGACTCATCATATTTTTACAGTTTAGATAGGATTTATTCGGCAAACTTTCGAGCTGACGTCATCAATTTTTTGGAGGGGATAAGCAAATATATTTTGACTAAACATTTATTATGCTCTTTATAACCTTAAAACATTTGCAAGATTTCAAAGCATTCGGTTTTGTAGTTTCTGAGTAAATCAGTAAAATAAATTTACGCATTCATTAATTTTTTTGAGTCACCTTGTATATGCAAATCCAAAAAATATGAATGGAGTGATAGATCACAAGTACAGACTCATCATATTTTGTACATTTTAGATATGATTTATTCCACAAACTTTTGAGCTGACGTCATCAAGTTTTTGGAGGGGATAAGCAAATATTTTTTGACTAAAGATTTATGATGCTCTTTATAGCCTTAAAACATCTGCAACATTTCAAAGCATTCTGGTTAGCAGATTAAAAATTAAATTTCAAAATGTTGTTTTATAATTTTGATTTTTTTTTCCAAAAATCTGGACGTTTCGGGTGAAAAGTCGATTCAGAGTTGTAAACTACATGTGTAGGACTATGTTATTTTATACAATTGAAAACCCATTTACTATGTACAATTTTGAAGTGACGTCATCGCATTAGTGGTGGGGATGATTAGACAAATTTTGGTTAGCGTTTTACCATCTACATGATATTCTTAATATAAGTACAAAATTTCACAACAATCGGTCGAGTACTTTCGGAGAATATCTGTCTAATAAAAATTCGGGACGGCAGACGGACAGACGGACAGACGGACAGACGGACAGACGGACAGACGGACAGACGGACAGACGGACGGACAGACGGACAGACGGACAGACAGACGGAAATGGGAGACCTATTTCTTCGTCTTCTAGGGGTCATGAAAGATTGAGAAAACGTAAAAGTAGAGAGTCGGCCGACGGACTCGATTACAATACTTCCTTTGCTTACGCTCGGGAAGTAAAAGGCAAAATATCTGCCCCGCCCACACACCCTATCTCAATTGTGATTATTTTTTTTAATCGTTGAGAGCCGAAGGAGCGGAATTTAATTGCAAAATCCTTATTATGTCTTTACAAGAAATTACTATGTAAAACATGTTTTTGCATATCGTGTTATTCAAAAAATACTATGTTATGTATATTAAGAAAAAATTAAAGCCAAAGATTAAGCCCCATATATACCTGCCCTGATCTAAATAGTTACTAATTAATGTAGTTTTCATTCGTCGACAGACCCAGGGGCGGTGCCTAATTGCAAAATTCATATTTCCTTACAAAAATTTACCATTTTAAACATGTTTTAAGTTTCCAGGAATAAAAAAAATCATAACAATGGAGATGGGGTGGGTGGGCGGCTTCTATATTTTGTTTTTTTTTCTTAATATACATAGTATTCTTTGAACAACATGATACAAAAAAACATGTTTTTAATTTCTCGTAAAAAAATAAATATTTTGCAGTTAAGCTCCGTCCCCTTGGTTCACGGCGAATAAAAAAATCATCACAATTGAGACAGGGTGGGTGGGCGGGCTTACATTTTGCCTTTTGTTTTAATATGTGGAGACTTGTTTTCACAACATGAAACTTAAAACATGTTTAAAATTGAAAATTTATATAAGGAAATATCGATTTTGCTCCATAATTGCAAAATCCATACTTCCTTGTAAAAATGTACCATTTTAACAATGTTCGAAGGTTCTTGTTGTGAAAAGATGACTTAAATATGTGTATTAAGAAAAAAAGCCAAAATATAAGCCCCGCCCACCCGCCCTATCTCAATTCTGATGATTTTTTTCATTCATAATTCGTATTAATTGTAAAATCCTTATTTTTCTACGAGAAATTACCGTGTGAAATATGTTTTTAAGTGATCGTTTTATACAAAGAAAACTAAATGCATTAGCCTCGCCCACCCACCCTATCTCAATTGTGATGATTTTTTTATTCGTCATGAGCCAAGCTTCAATGCAAAATCCGTATTTCTCTACAAGAAATAAAAAACATGTTTTTGAGATCGTGTTGTTCAAAAAATACTAGGTATGTATATTAAGAAAAAAACAAGCCAAAAATTAAGCCCCACCCATCTCGATCCCAAGTTCAGTTGTGTTTAATTTTTCATTCGTTGGCAGCTCGAGGGGCGGAGTTTATAAATCGACCTTACCAAGTTTTTTAAAGTACATCTAAAATTTCGAGATAACCAGCCTACCATAATTTCGGAGTTTATCTGTTAAAATATTTGTAACAATAGACGCAAAATGAAAAGAGATAGGTAGATAAAATCTGGAAATCTGTATTTTCGTATTCTCCTACAAGGCACAATATTTTACATTTCACATTAAAAGTGTTCACAGATTTTCAACAGTAATAGTGGTTATATCCTCAGTGTAAACGAAAACTGTACGCTTTTCGCAAAAATAATGTGTTCCTAAAACATTTTTCTACAGAGTGTTCTGAGTGAAATGAACTTTCAATAATTAATTAATACATACAACATATAAAAGAGAATGTTTATCGAAAGTAAATTGTACTCCCAGTTTGTTACTTTAGAAGCAGTCTATGTATACCTATATTATTCCAAAATCAAAAATCCACGAACACTACAAGTTTTTCGAAAATACAACTGACAACGTTGCCATTGCAGTTTTATAGTGATTTCTTCTAGTGTCAAATTTAAGGTTATGTTTCATTGCCAGTTTTTTACCATTTTTAAACTTCAAACGTCAAGAAACTCTCAAACTTGGTAGTGCCAATATAAGAATAATTAAACTATCTAAACCGAGGTTTTGTTTTAAAACTTAATTCAGGTTGTGGATTTTCCATTTTAAGATAAATTTGACATAGGACAAAAGAGTATTTAGAAACTCTAGATACAGTTGGGGCAGAAAATCTTGGACGTCAATGTCATTTCACTGTCAGAAATTGTACAACAGCTTTAAGTGGTGTAACCTTATGTTTTAGTTTTGACAGTTTTGACATTGCGGGCATGCTGACACTAGATGCGACTTGAAAAATGTTTTAAACTCCAACAAAAACAACATACTTAAATAAATTTGGAGTAACTTCCTTTTTTTATACCTCGTGATCGAAAAGATACTAGTCAAAGTTGATCGTGAACGAAAAACGCTTGTAGTACTTTAATATTATTATTTTTTGAATGTCAATGGCGATTTTCAATTTCTGCAAGTTTTGTGGTCGACTTTTGATAAATTATTATTAAAATTAGAAATAGAGACAAAGAATTGTACGATTCTTTAAGGACTATACAGTAAAATTATGTTTAACTGTACAGAGTGTTCTGTTTTTAAGGCGTAACACACAACTTAATTTTTTTTAAGGAAACACCCTATATATTTTTACATATTTTGACTGACTTCTTCTCTCTTTATATAAGCACAGATTATTTTTGAAATTGCGATGCGACGTTGCCACCTTGCCCAATTTTCTTGAAATTTTTTAGCAATGGAAGGGTTTACAAAATAATCGTAGTAAGGTTATTTTTAAAATCTGTGATACAATATTTTGTAGAGAGGTAAATAAATATACGCGCTTTCTTGTGCTATAAAAGTAATTTATTTTCATATATAGAGTGTTTCTAAAAAAATTTAAATGATTACAGTTTTCAAACATCGACATTTCAGTTTTTTCAAATAACTGTGCTGTTTCTTTTTTGTCAAGTGTTTTTAATATTCTAATAAGTTGACAGTTAATGCGATTTTTTACTTTTTCAAGAGACACATCGCCATATTAGAAGAACGAGAACAAAAAATAGATTAAGATACAGTAATAAACTACAGGGTGTTTTATTTTTTGAAAAACCTGATACATCGATATTTCAAAATTGTAAAGTTTTAATTTTTTTATAAACATTCTATTTATTAAAATTTGATATAATTGATATCACAACAAAGCACATAGGTACCTTTATATATGCTTCTACAAAAAATTGTAAGGCAGATTTTAAAAATAATCCTATGGGATTTTTTTGTGAACTTAACGTCGCCATTTTTTCCAGTTTACTTCCATTTCTAAAATAGGATTCTAGAAGGAAAGTTTTAATTTCATAGATAGGATTACTGAAAACGTCTTGTGTTTTTTTACATTTAATAAATAATTATTTTAAACTAAGACAAGCGGTTTTTCGTGTATGGTCAACTTAACTGCTTTTTTTCGAAATAACATTTTCCTCATTTTTAGATGCCCTCGATAAAATAAAAACAGAGAGAAAAGCTACATCAATAAATCTGGCGTAAACTGCCTTTTCCTTTTTTTATACTCGTGATTTCGTGACTTATTTCGAGAAGAAAAGATTCATTTTCTCCTCTTCCCTTCTCAAAAATACACAACTAATTCATTTTATAGCCAATTATTCTTCTAAAGATGTTAGAAACTTAATAATCTATATTTAAAATCTCTTGCTATCAGTTCTTTTGCCTTATTCTGAAATCTTTAATACATGAATCACACAAACTGATAACAGCACAAAAAAAAAGAAATTACCACAACCTATCGCCCAAGAAAATGGGCCTGGGCGTCAAAATCCCCATCGAACTATAATACTGCTGAGCCAGCAACTCCACATCGTTCGTATATTTCCTCTTCCACTTCGTCCTCCTATTCTGAAACCAAATCTTGATCTGCGTCTCCGTCAACTTCAAGGTTTTGGACAATTGGCACCTCTTCGCCACCGACAAATACTTGTTCCTCTCGAATTCCGCCTCCAGAGACTTGATCTGCGCCGCCGTGAACGCCGTCCTCGGCCTCTTCTTCCTCTCTTCGTCCGATCGCGCGTCGGCGGCATCTGAAGACACACAACGTCGTAAAATAAGTGACAAAAGCTCGTCTTCGAGCGGCACCGCATAACCCAACACCCAACAGTTGTTTTTAATTTGCCGTGGCGAAATTTATGTCCCGAACGTCGGGTGGGAAGTGCAGACATGTTAAGAAGACGCTAATTTGCGCCAGAGACAGAATTAGATTTTAAACAGCTAACGATCTAGAGAGCGTTGAAAAATGACACAAAAAAACAAGCGCACCGCTATCTCGCGGCAATATATTATCGACAAACGTGAGTGTTTGCCTTAAATACCGGGTGATTTAAGGACGGTTTCGTGTGCGCCGATTAGAGCCGCATAAGTGACATTAATTTCTGTTATAAACGACATTTAAGAATTCTTTGGTACTAAATTAAATTTACCAGGACTTTGGGATGTTTTAAATAAATTTATGACAGTTGTTGGAGTATTTACAGCGGGTTAATTAGCTTGGGAGTGTTACATTTTGAGGAAGTCACAGTGTATGATTGTTACAAATTTTGCTCGGGTTGGGTGTTTGACAAAAATAAAGTGTACGATAGTTTCACGGTCCAACTTAATGGGAGAATTAAGTCACTTCTTTTTTAAAGTCACAACTAGCCCACGAATTTTTTAGCTCGCTGAATTTTGATCAAGCGCTAAAGGGGAGCAAATATTGATTACTTTCGGCAAAATATTGTCAGAAATTCATGTTATGGCAAACTTTTGTGAATTTTGGGGAAAAAGTTAGAGTGTACTACGTAAAACCCAAGAAGAATCGCAACCGTGAAAATAAATTGAAGTAAGATAATGGTGTTAATTTTCATTTAGGTAACCGAACCTTAAGGACATAAAGTAAATTAACTAATATATTTGTTGATTACTGTTCCAAAGCCGCTAATTTGAAAAAAATCTAAAAATTAGTATTTTCTACCTTAATTAGCAAATCGTCAACATCCGGTTAGCTTGCATTATATTGCCTAATTTGAGATCTTCTTTAATTCTTTTTTTATTTCATTTTTTGTTAATTTCTATTTTTTATTTAAATTTTTCCGTTACTCCACATTTTACTAGAGATCTTTCCTAATATCTTGCTGTTTTATTTCTTTGCTCTTCTTTTTTTATCTTTTCATTTAATGTTTGCTTTTAAATTTTAATGCATCTCTTCCATTAAAACTTCTCACACTCAATTCCTACTGATTATACCAAAATTGTCATGAAACTTTGTCCGTTATCTTCTTCTTTGAACTGAAAACTAATCATGTATTAGCAGTCAAAATTTTTCTTTCGTTCCTCGTTCAGAATTTGCAAATTGTGTTTAGAAATATGAATTCCTATATTTTTGTACTTATTTTAGTTACTTCACTTCTGACCTGACCAGAATTGAGTTGAGACCATTGACACTTTTAATTTCTAGAATCATCTCGTCCATCTTTAAGTCCCAGAATTTTTTGAGAATCTTTTCAAGAAGCAACTTTTGAAAAATACCAATTCTTCAAATAAATTTATTGGCCGTTTCTCGAGTACCTACTTTCAGAAAATTACTAGAACAAATTTTATTGTAGATTTCGAATTGTATAAGCTTTTGTCGGATTCATTTCTTCAAAAATTTCATCAAATATTCTAGAATCGATAAAAATAAAAATTACAGTTTTCCAGATATTTACAAAATTTCATCTTCAAATTGGCCATTAATACGTTTTGTTTTTCGACTCAGCTCGTCGAGATTTATGTCTCAGAATTTATTGAGAATTTTTAGGCACTTTTCAAAAATATCAACTTTTCAAATGACCATTTTCGAGTACATTTAAAATAGTAATGAAACACCATTTTCTTCTAGATGTCGACTTGTTGAAGTTTTTTTCGGATTCATTTCCGAAAATCTTGGGCTGGGACAATTAGTACGTTTTGTTTTTCGAACTAGCTCGCCGAGATTTATATATCAAAATTTTTTGAGGATTTTTAAGCAAATTTTCAAAAATATTAAATTTTCATATTAATTTTTGGGCGTTTCTTGGGCAGTTTTATAAAACTACTGGAACATATTTTCTTTCAGATTTCGAACCGTAGTTTTTATAGGATTTGATTCTTCAAAAATTCCAACAATTTTTTATAAGCGGAATTTTTTGGTCTCTTTTCCAGGAATTTTAGAAAATTATTAAAACACATTTTTTCGACATTTCGACTAGTAAAAGTTTTTCTAGAATCTATAACATAAAAAATTACAGTTTTCGAACTATTTACTCTACAAAATTTCATTGTCAAACTGAATTTTCGACTCAGTTCCTCGAGATTTATGTCCCAGAATTTTTGAGGAACTTTTCCAAAATATTAATTTTTCAAAGGAAATTTCTGGCGGTTTTTCGAGCATTTTAGAAAACTACTGGAAGAGATTTTTTTGTAGATTTCGAATTGTAGAAAATTTTTCGGATTCATTTCTATAAAAATTACAACAATTTTTCTAAAATCCATAAAATGATGGATGAAAGTTTTCGACATAGTGACAAAATTTCATTTGCAAACCGCATTTTTCAAAAATTTTGGTCCAGGACTATGTGGAAAGAGATTATGATACTCGGTATGAAACCCCGGAAGCTCAGATCACCAGGACTAAGCTCGTCATAGTTTAGTTCCCAGAATTGTTTGAAGATTTTTGGGCGACGTTTCAAAAATATCAATTTTTCAAATACATTTTTTGGCCGTTTCGAGCACTTTTAGAAAGTTGCTGAAACATATTTTCTTTTAGATTTAGAGTTGAAGAAGTTTTTTCGGATTCGTTTCGAAAATTCCAGCAATTTTTCTAGAATCGATAAAAAGAAAACCAACACTTTTGGAGATATTTTTAAAAAATTTCATTTTTAAACCGAATTTTTCAAAAGTGTTGGTCCGGAACCAATGAGAATTTTTGTTTTTCGAATCAATTCATCGAGGTTTGTGCCCCAGAATTTTTTGAAGATACATATTTAGGCAACTTGTCAAAAATATCAATTTTTCAAATTGAATTTTGGCTGTTTTTAGAAAATTACTTGAACACATTTTCTTTTAGTTTAGACTCTTAAAAGTTTCTTTTCGGATTCATTTCTTAGAAAATTCCAACAATTTTTCTAGAATCGATAAAATAAAAATGACAGTTTTCGAGATATTTACAAAATTTCATCTTCAAAGTAAATTTTCCGAAAATCTTGGTCCGTTTTGTTTTTGGAATCAATTCGTGGAGATTTATGTCTCAGAATTTTTTGAAGATTTTAAAGCAACTTTTCAAATATATCAATTTTTCATCAAATGAATTTTTTGGCTGTTTCTCGAGCAGTTTTAGAAAATTATTGAAACACATTTTTTTCTTTTAGATTTCGATTTGTAGAATTTTTTTTCGGATTCATTGCTTCGAAAATTAAAAATTACAGCTTTTGAGATATGTATTTACAAAATTTGACCTTTAAATAGAGTTTTCCGAAAATATTGGTCCGGGATCAACAATACGTTTTGTATTGCGAATCTGCTAGCCGAGATTTGTCTCAAAATTTTTTGAGGATTTTTTTGGAAATTTGTCAAAAATATAAATTTTTCAAATGAATTTTTGTCCGTTTCTGGAGCACTTTTCGAAAATGAATGAAACACATTTTCTTCTAATTTTCGACTTGTAGAATTTTTTTTCGGATTAATTTCTTCGAAAATTCTAATAATTTTTCTAAAATCGGTAAAATAATCATCCGAGAGCTTTGGCACTTTTTGATCTTCGAAACAGCTCGTTGAGATTTTTCTCCAATAATTTTTTCAGCATTTATAAGCAACTTTTCAAAAATATCAATTTTTCAAATGACTTTTTGTCTGTTTTTCGAGCAATTTCAGAAAATTACTGTAACATATTTTCTTGTACATTTCGACTTGTAGAAGATTTTTTCGCATTCATTTCTTCAAAAATTCCAACAATTTCTCTAGAATCGATAAAATTCTAAATGACACTTTTCGAGATATTTAGAAAATTTCACCTTTAAACCAAATTTTTCGAAAATCTTGGTCCGGCACAATTAATACGTTTTGTTTTTCGAATCAGCTCGTCGAGATTTATGTCCCAGAATTTTATGAGGATTTTTAAGCAACTCTTCAAAAATATTAATTTTTCAAATACATTTTTTGACCGTTTTTAGGACACCTTTAGAAAATTACTGAAATACATTTTTTCGGATTCTTTTCTTCGAATATTTTCAACAGTTTTTCCAGAATGAATAAAATACTAAATGACGGTTTTGAAGTATTTACAAAATTTCATCGTCAAACTTAATTTTCCGAAAATTTTTGTCTAGGACCATTAATACGTTTTATTTTTCGGATCTGCTCAACGAGATTTATGTTCTAGAATTTTTTGCGGATTTTTTTTGCCAACTTTTTAAAATATCAGTTTTTCAAATGAATTTTCTGGCCGTTTCTTAAGCACTTTTAGAAAATTACGGAAACAGATTTGTCTCCAGGGGTGGGATTCTGTTTCTACAGATACGATACGAAGCGAAAACGAAGCGATAAATGACAAGGACGAAAATATAAATTTCAGATGCGAAAGAAAAAGACGACAAGATTTTATCGGTACCGATATTTTATCGTTATAGAAACAAAATCTCACCCCAGATTTCGATTTGTAGAATTTTAAGCAACTTTTCAGAGATATCAATTTTTCAAACGAATTATTTGACCGGTTTTCAAGCAGTTTTAGAAAATTATTGAAACACATTTTCTTCTAGATTTCGCCTTGTAGAAGTTTTTCGGATGCATTTATTCTAAAATTCCAACAATTTTTCTAGAATTGATAACAAAATAAGCAACAATTTTCGAGATATATACCTATACAATTATACATATGTATTTACAAAATTTCATCTTCAAACCAAATTTTTCAAAAATATTTGTCTGTGACCATTGACAATTTTTGTTTTTCGAATCAGTTCGTTGAGGTTTGTGTCTCAGAATTTTTTGAGGATGCATATTTGAACACATTTTCTTCTAGTTTCGATAC